CACCTAGCCCAGAGCAGGCCCTCAAGAATGGTACCCAATCACAGCAGGGCACATTCTTACCATCTAAATGGGACAGTGGACAGCATACGGTACACAAAGTGTGTACCTCAGCCCAAGTGTGACTAAAATAAGTCCAAACATAAAATCTTAATGCTGGAGAGAACCTTTGTATATGCAAAGTACAACCCAAAGAAGTGAAGGCAATTCTGTGAGCACATGGTCAGGCCGGATCATATTGGCTCAAGTTCAGAGGCCCCGTGTAGCTATTGCCAAGACTAAATGCAGGCAATTCTTAGCTGCAGAAATACGAATGGCTAACAGACAAGAACAGGTATGCAGCCTCAGTCATCCGCAGACACATGAAAGAACACAGAGGTATACTCTTGTCCACTTAGCAGTTTAGTAAAAACTACCATTATTAATAACATCAATCAAATAGAAGATAGGAAGCAGGGTAGCTCATGTGTGTTGTTGGGAGTATAAATTGGTGTGAGGAGGGCAAGCTGGTGGTATCTATGAAAATATTTAAATGTACATATTCTTAGACCAGGCAATTCCACATACAGGACCTTGACAGATATGTTCACACAATAAACATGGCTAATCTTTGCATCACTGTTTGTGATTGCAAAACTCTGTCAATATAAAGGTCCGTCACTGGAGGAATAGCTAAATCATAGAACTGGGCAGTTATTAAAAAGAATGAAGGAGATTTGTATATACTGACCTGGAAAGATTCAATACTATATTGTTAAGTGAAAAAACCAAGTTGCCGAATAATATATAATTTTTATAATTATATATATTTTAAACTATGTATATGTGTGTATATATATCCGTGCACATTATGTATGTGCAATATTTCCATATGCATAGAAAAATATATGCTTTGGGGAAGAGAGAGGGATTTTAGAAGAGTCATAGCAGATCTGTGTTTCATCTATATTGTTCTAACTTTTTACAATGAGAATATTTAGCTGGTGGGGGTATGTGTGTGTATCTAGGCCTAGGGGTTTAGATAGTGGGATTATGTATAATATTTCTTCTACTTTTCTGTATGTTCTTTATTTCCTACAGAAAAAATATATTTATATTAAATGGTATTCATGTAACATGTTATAAATATATAATAAATATGTATTTTATATATATCCATATATAATCCATTACCAAATTTTATCTGTGGTTTTCGTGGAGTTGGGGCAAGCAGGGGTAGTACCACTTTAGCTTTTTATCTAATAGACTTCCTAGGGATTAAACCTTTTCCCAGCATATGTTACTTTTGCGATTTTTAAAGATTAAAAAGAAAAAAAGAAAGACTTGACAATCCATTTAGCATGAAGGCTATAAACCAAGTTTGCAACGGTAAGTTCAAGGCTTGCCATCTCATGCCTTGGAAAAGTTTCAGTTACTTGGGGGACTTGGTTAAAATAGATCTCACTAGTGTCTTGTGGCTTTAAGCGGGGACAGATTTAAATGGGTCACCCTGCAGCTGGCAAAGTAGAAACCCCAGGAAATGGAAACTATAACGTTGGAATCCCAAGACAAGGCTCCCAGACTTGGCTGCTGTGGATGGACACTTTAAAGGGTCAGTCCCCCACACCCAACTCCCAAACCACACTCATAAATAAATACAAAGGAAATACTTTCCCAAGAGAGCCGGTCTCTCTCCCTTGGCCTCTGACCTCCCTAAGCGGCCGTTTCCTACAGCCCAGGGGCCTTTCTTCGGCGTCGGCCCCATAACGGAGGGCTTGCAAAGGCGACCCGGCGGGGCTCGCACAGCACCTGGCCCGCCCTGGCCAGGGGGCGGGGGCGGGCGCCCCCAACCGAGTGGCGCAGGGTGACACTGGCCGCTGCCGCCGAGCCTCTTCCCGGCCGGTCTGCTAAGAGCTCCGCAGCACCCCGTGACTCACTGCCAGGTCACACGGAGCTTATCTGGCTCCAGGTGTGCTCGCTCCGACTGCACGCTTCTCACATGACATCAACCGGCCCGCCCGCCCACCGGCTCGGGCTCCCGCTCCCTCGGAACCCGCGGCGCCTCCCGCCGCGATACCGTCTCCCCTGGAACGCAGCGGTCCCGCAGGGCCCGGGAGGAACGACAGCGGGAGAGGTGCCAGTGGCGCGGCCAGGTGCCCCGCTGCTCTTCCATGTGCACCTCCTCGGCTCGGCCCTGGGGTTTGCCGCAGCCGGCTGGGCGCTAAACTCAGCCAATACTGCCCGCCCCCCCTTCTGTGTGACCTTGAGCAAGTCCTCTCCCCTCTCTAGGCCTCCGTGGACCTGAGAGTTCAGACTTGGCCCCAAGCCCTTGCCTCTGCTGGAGAGGTATTCTGCTCAACTCTGAATTGCAGGTTCTAATCCTGCTGTGCCCCTGACTTTCTGTGTGACCTTGAGCCCGTCATCCAACATCTCTGAATATCCGAGAATAATAAAAATTATCCCTTGTAAGTGATGGTAAAGTGCCTAGCAGAGAGAAAGGGCCCTGGGCCCTCTAAAAACCTCAGTCCACAGGGCGCCTGGGTGGCTCAGTCATTGGGCGTCTGCCTGTGGCTTGGGTAATGGTCCCGGGGTCCTGGGATGGAGCCCCGCATAGGGGTCCCTACCCCGCAGGAAGCCTGCTTCTCCCTCCCCTACTCCCCCTGCTTGTGTTCCCTCTCTCGCTGTGTCTTTCTCTGTCAAATAAATAAAATCTTTAAAAACAAAAAAAAAAAAAACAAAAAACCCCTCAATCCACGGTTTAAACTCCTGCCTGACTGTAAGCTATTTGAACCATCAAGGGAATATGGATAATTTATAAGCCATACAGTTCCCACCTCAAGGAAAGTGAGGTGGGGAGAGGAGTGGAGGCTTTCCAGTTCTGCTCCCCACTCCTCCCAATCCAGCTTCCAACCGCACTCTTGAATTCAGGGGACAAAGGGTGATGGGGAGTGACGTGCAGAGTAAGCAGATCTTAAAGCACCCAGGAGCCTGACCCAAAGTAGAACTTCAAAGCTCCATCAAGCCCTCAGCCCCAGTCCTGGGGGAACCACTCTCACACCCTCTAACCTTTAAACTACACCAGGCCAGAGCCCCTCAGCTTTACCCACTACACCTGAGAGAAGCCTGGGACAAGGCCTGGGGCCCAGAGCCACCAATGGGACCCAGCTCACATGGATGATCGAGTTCCAGTCCAGGGCATCCACTTCAGGTGAGGGGTGTCTGGATGGGCACAGATCTCGGGTTTGAAGGAACAAGAACAGCCCTACTGCTCTGGAGACCTGTGACACACCAAGTGTGGATCAAGGTTCCTGAGTTCCAGCAACTCCCTGCTCCACCCAAGTAGGGTGGATTCTCCCTTTCAGTTCTGCCCCACCCAGTCCACCTTTGGGGACCTGCCTCTGGGGGACCCCGGAGGTTTCAGGCCCAATTTCTGAAGACACAAGCACCCCTTAAAGAGCAGCCTCAAGCTGGGCCGGTGAAGGGGGCTCCAGGCAATAGCCTGGCTGCCCCTGACAGCCAGGGAGTGAGGCTGAGGGACCAGGCAGGAGTCAGGAAGGGCACAATCCACGTGAGGGCTTCTGAGGAGAGCCTGGGGCACCCGAGGAAGCCCTCAGGCACACACCCTGGCACCTGAGCCAGGCCTGGGGAGCGTAAACAAACTAGATACTCAGAGCTGCCAGGCACCAGGTCATCAACTGTTCAAAGTTCAAAGCTTTCAAAGGAAGTGACCACCGGCATTCTATCCCTCCCACCCCCACCTGCGACCCTTCTCATTGCCCTAACCCTCCAACACAATAGCGTCCCCCGTCGTCTTCCTGGAATTGAGGCCCCAATCCCAATGTCCCCAACCCCAAATGGACAAGCACACCTCCACCCGAGGCTATATATAATTAGTCATGTCCAGCAACCAGGAGGATGTTTCCTGGAAAGCCCTCATCACAAAAGGGCAGAGGGGAAGCTGAGGAGGTGGCAGGCCATTGACAAAGAGCCAGTGAGGTCTGTCAGGAAGCCAGAGACCTCAGGAGAGCAACTTTCAATATCCCCAAATAGAAAGTAGCTTCTGAACCAAAAGGGTGGGGAAAGCTAGACAAGGCCTGGCCCATTGCCATGACAACAGGAAATCGACCTGCCCAAGAAAAGGGCTCCAGATCTCATAAGCATATGGAAAGGCAGCCTGACCCCTTGGGTTCAATGTCTCACTAAGGTGATCTCGCTCTTAACTTGAACTTCCCTCCCTTCCAGCATGGACCCACTGCATACATACTTCAGACAGTTCACTCTCCTTGGGGGAGACATGCCAGTTATTCCAAAAGACAAATGAGCGCACACAAACCAGCCTGAATCATTGGCCAGGTGAAGGGGGGGAGGGAATCCGATTCCATAATTTTGGGGGTCCATCTGAGGGCAGGAAGGCTCTAGGCAGGAGGGCTCCTCCTAGGAAGCATTGTCCCGGGCCTCTCTACACAAACACAAACCAAAAGGACACTGTCAAACGCATGCCCCATTGGTCAAGTGACCAGGCAAAAGGACCACCACTTAAAAAACATACTGTCTGCCTTCCCCCACCGCCATCCATCCCCCCAGCCCAGTTCATTCTGGCTGGCAGCCTTTCTAACTAATCAGCAGGACACATGTGCCTTGCAAAAGGGTGACATCCCCAACCCTCCTCCCTGCCCCCAACAAAGCCCCAATGTGTGGTATGTCCCTGCAGGCCTTATCTCAGCCAGGAACATGACCCACTCCTCACCATGCTTGGTACCAAGCAGCACCCCGCTCCCCCCTCCCCCCCGCCAACACGGGGGTGGGGAGCAGCTAACCTTACCACCTCCCCTTCCCATTGGCGAAACAACTGGCATGACAGGTTAGCAGGGCGGGGCGTCAGGGCAGTCTCTCCCAGAGGCCTGGGGCAGGCCGTCCGACCTTCCCACACACACCCCACCCCTTTGCAGGGAAAGGTGAGGTGAGCAGCCAGTCACAGGGGACAGCCAGCACTCCCTAATCCCCAAAGCCTACCATTCACTCACCCCCATCTTCTGCGCCCGGGGAGGGGGTCGGGGAAGCGGGGTCTCCATTGTTTTGCCAGCCGTCTAGCAGCTGCTCCTTTGAGAGGAGCCCGCTGTCGGCCTGGCAGTGAAAGGGTGAAGCCGCTGGGAGGGATAAAGGGCTCGGCCGAGGTGCTCGCTGTCCCCGCTGCTTTCCTCAGAGCCTCGCTCGCTCGCTCGCTCGCTCGGTCTGGGGGGCGGGGGCCTGGGCCTGGCCCCGAGAAGCCCCCTATCCCAGAGGCTACAGCCTCCACCCCGCAGCTCGGGGCCACCTGGGCTCCTCCAAGCCCTCAATCCCTCCCCCAAACTGAGGGCCACCCTGCCCTGCCTCCGCGCGCCCCCGAGCTGTTAAAGGGGGCCAGAGCTCCCCTCCCCGCCCCTCCCGGTCGGCCCCCGTTCCCGGGCGCCGAGCTCCGCCGCACAGCCGGGGACCGGAGCCGGGAGTCCGGGCCGCCGCTTCCAGGGGACAGTGGGGGAGGAGGAGCCGGCGGGCCCCTCCGCCCGCCCGCCTTCCCGGCTCG